CACCTAGTTCAACAACTTCTACCTCTTGATCGTCTTCAATTCTCACAGATTATTCGCCAATACAGAACTTAGAGGCATGAACTTTCACAAGAAATCTATTTCCACGGAATCGAGTTTTACGAAACATGAGATAATAAATCTCCATAATCAGCACATTTACGCAAATGAAACCATATTTGATTATGGAAAGATTTTTTAGCTTGAATTTTAGAGGGGTTTTATCAGTGACATTCCGAGTGGTCCTGTTAGATTACCAAATCGTTTCAATGGTAACAGTTAAATAGATTAGAATAGTTACATTTTCTGTAAAATACTTAGTTAGAATTATTTGACGATCTACCAGTTAATCTACGTAGTCACATATATTTTGGTGGTGATGCTTCATACTTAATTCCTGTGATTTTTTTTATTTGAGGGGCCGTAAAGCAGAAAGTGTACTCTGTGTACAGTCTTTCTCCCCCCACCACGCGTATCAACGTGTAAAAAAGGGGGTCAATCATTGCGGACTATTTTTTATATTGAAGTAAAAGTATTCAACTACAACTTGTGTAATTTTTCAGACACTAATATTAATAAATGACGTCGGGCGATTTTTTGAAAAAAAATGTTCTCGGACCCCCAATATCCTTGGCAGGAAAAATGACCTCGGATGGAGCGGGGTCGAGCGGGATTATCGCTCTTTACCCACTTCATCGCTGTAGGCCCGGACGCCTCGTCTCTACGAGGCCTACCTCTGTAGGCCCTTTCCCCGTCATTCCGGACCGCCAACGCGGCCGGATTGGATCGGTTCGTGGGGCCTCCTCCTGTCCTAGCTGGGCCCCGCCGGCTAGGGCCTTTTCTTCTTGCGTTCTCGGACCCTGTTGGTCATAGGACATTTATTTTTAATACGCGAAAAATTTTAGCTTTCAAATTAAAGTAATGCCATTCTGATTACATTTCAACGATAAGAAAAAGAAGTCAAAGTTTCGGTAGATTTTTCGCATATTTCCAATTATTTTGCAATACACGCACAATTTGCAAAGGAAAGTACAACTCTTAGAGTTTTTAATCACAAGATGGGTCACGTAAGTGCATTACTGTATGATTTATTGAAATTTGAAAAAAGTGTATTTTTTCGATACTCAATTTTTACAAAAACTATCAAATATTTTGCAGTTTTACAGAAATGCGCTTATTCTACCTGCCAAGGACTATATATTCTGAAAGTTTCGTAAAAAAATCTTTCTTCATTTTAAAGATATAGAAATTTAAAGAAAATGCGATTTTTAACAGGTTTTTTGCAATAACTAATACATTTGTTTATCAATTGACATCGGACATTTTATTCTAAAATCTTTAGTTTTTTTTTTATAAAAATAACTGTTTTTTGCGAACTTTGGACGCCATTTTGAAAATGAAGCCCTAACATTCAGCTGGGGTAAAGTAGTTCATTTAATTCTACGGAATTTTTCCTAATTTTTACTTGTCTTTGTTTACTGAATTAAATTTTGGCAAAAACACGAGGTATTTTCAATAATTTGACTGGCCTATTGGTCGTCAACTACTTTGTGGCGATGTAAAAAATATATTTAATGAAACTGGCATCTTTTCTACTATAACGTGAATTATTGTTGCAAAAACAACGGAGCGAAACAGACAACCTTACCTTTCCAGAGCATAATGTGTCAAAAACATGCATTTAGATTTAGATCCTAAGAGATTGTGGTGTACAACACAAAGTTCCGCAATAGCACAAACGGAAAGTTAAGTCGATGAAAATGAAGCAACAAACGTTTATCTGTTTTAAATTTACCATCTACGTCTATTAAAACGTTCTTATTTCTTATTTCATTCTCGATGATAATCCTTTGATATCCTGTATGTCGAAAATAAGCAACTCTAACTTTTTATTTGAGGTACGAAGAAATAAATTAAATAAAGAAACATCTTTTAGACAAGTCGGGGAAACTTTGGAATATCTCCCTTAAAAATATATCACTACGTGTTTTTCTAAGTTTTCTAGAGCGAAATTTCGAAGTGTATCATTTATAGAACTTGTGTATCATCCTCGAAAAAAATTTAATTTTTTCGAGACAAAAAAAATAAATATACCTAGGTACATATAAACAGGAATTGTACGCATCACCCTGTATGTCTGCCACTATGGCACAAACACTTTATCGACATCCGCAATTTGACCGTAAAACATACCGTTTGTGGTGTTGTAATTAAAATATTATTGCCAATTCCCGTCGTCTTTTAATGTTACTGGCCATTGAAAATACTTGCCATCATCTTGGTTAACTACGGTGTCGAGTATAAACCCTTGAGCCTCGCAGGCCTGTATCCATAAAGAACTTCCCCTTCTGCCTTTACCAATTAATTACAGATCCTCAGGGCAGTACAAACTTCCTAGTATTAATATTATTGTTGTTTTATGGTCGTTTCCATTCGCGATCAGCAGCATGTTTCTTCAATGTAATTCAATTTCAGTAAGCCCGAAAAGTCCTGAGTGTATTTGTTTGTTTGCTACCTTCTTTAATTTGTAAGTTTATAAATTTTATCATTTCTGTCAGTCCAATCCCTTTCAAAGCGGATCGAAACCTTATCACACATCGCAGATTATTCGTAATATTTAAAAAATAAATGTACTACTCAACTTTTAATAATTTTTCTGTTGGTTACACTGATATGATGATAGAGCTCTAACTAAAGATTTCTAACCTCAAACTTCAATGTCTGTTGCAATGTCTGAGCGAGCTCGACCATATTTAACCACACGTTCATTTCTAACCAAGAAACAAAGTACAAAATTCATGAATAAAATTTTAATGGTCTCATATTTTTAGTTAATCGAGACTCAAAGTACCGGACATTAATCTATTGTTGCATACATGCAAACCAAATCAAAACAAGGCGATTGAAAGAAACAGGTTGGCCAATCTGTCTACATTCAAGGCCTGCGTTCTGTATCGTGACGTCATCCTAGATCGTTTTCATTAAATTAGTATTTTATACGTGAAATATAGCAAAAAGCTATTATAAAGCCAACAAACTTGGAATGCTTCCTAACATTTTTTTTATGAAAAGCATCCAGTTTCGCTCTGATTGACTTTTGAAATAGCCGGGGCATTTGGTTATCGCGATCTGTACGAGTAATATTTACCCAGAACGCCCTCTCCGTCGCCGTTATCAAAACTGAACACATTTTACTCGATTATCTGTTCCATTGCTCCTGAAGTGACCACTTACGGCTGAAATGGCCTATGAAATGTTAGCTTAGGGAGTGCTGTTATTAAAGATGGCGCCCTAGATAGCGTAATGGAATGGTTGAAGATGATTTCGCCCCCAAGTTAAAAGTCGTATAACAACAAGCTGCACTAAAACAACATTGTGTGCAAGCATAAAAGGCGATGGCAAATGCCGAAGTTATATTTGATATTTGATGTTATGTCAGTAAATGAGTTTTTGTTCTTGTGGATATATCAAGCGGATATGGATAACGGCTTTCGTTCCTTCAACACGCACTGAATATCTAACATTATTATTGTTTTCGATGTTTTCAACATTTTGGATTTAATCGTTATATAACAATTCTTTCTATTCAGTTTGAGTTTAATTTCCATGTAATATAATATTAAAGTAATAATTGTGTTCTATATTAGAGCTGAAACAGAACAGGTGCCTAGTAACGCGAATTGGCATGTCAGATAAGACAGACAATTGATTAATTTGACAATACTTAGTTGTTTACATTTTAACAGAATTATGCGTGTTAAAATAAAAAATGTTGATCTATCTATTTTATGTGTAGATAGATCAACTAGCCTACTACTAGCGTACCAAATTTCATTTACATCCGACAAAGCATTTTTGAATTATTTGGAATAAAACTAAAATTCTTATCGACTTTGGCGCCATCTATCTATCGGTTATGAGAAGCAAGATAAGCATTCAATATACAAGACAAAAGAGTCCATCTCATTGTTGACATTGCCCACAGTCTTAAAACAAATTAGGTTCTCCGCGGTTAGAGGGCAGCACAGTTAACGCTGTTAGATTTAAGATAGGGTGCATCAAAGATGCAATTTGTTGCTTTAATTGTTGTATAGGTGGATAATAAAAGTTATAAATGCAATAAATAATAATTATATTTACGTAATTGATGATATCTAAGGGCCCTTAGATCCCGATGTCCTACACAATGGCCTGACGTCAAAATTTGTGAACAAGTAGTGTTAAAACAAGATCTTAAAGTTTCCCTTTAGGGTAAGTAACAAAGATATCGCAGTGTTTTGATTGGTGCCGTCATTTAACGGTGAGTGTCAGAATAATGTTTGAATTTCGCTATTTTATTAGAATTTTTATTGACTTTTCAGGCAATAAGCATCCGCCTACTTAAAAAGAAGTTTACAATAGCCGACATAATTTTATTTTTGGTTAATTTCTCCTTTTAACGAAATTCAAATAAAATTTAAAGACACTGAAATATTCAATGTCAAATCTGACAGGTTAAATCAACTTATGCAAAATAGGTAAGACTTCTATTGACATCACTGTTCTTTATAAAAAAAACTGTATACAGTGGTGTCACATTTTGTCTGGTGCCGCCATTTAATAGAGAGTGTCAGAATTGACGTTTGGGCTCAATTATTTTGTATATTTTGTTAGAAAATCTGACCTCTTACGTTATTTCAATTTTCTAATATAAGGATACAATCATTTATTTAGCTGATGAACATAAAATAAGAAAACTAAAGCAAAATGTTTTGATTTTAGAACCTGCCCCGCCATCTATCCGTGTAGTTGAGAACATTAAAATTCCGTTTGCAATCTTTAATTTAGAGGTTTGGACCATGACTAAAAATATGTTAGTTGAGTTAGATGCAAATAGATGACGCCATGGAATAAATGAAAATTAAAACAGCAGTACCAAACATTTTTACTACTCATTTGAATAAGAAAACTGATGGAAAAGATCTTATACACCTTAAGACGTAAAAAGTTGAAATAATTACCCATTTATAGTGTTTATGATTTATTTTAAACAAATAAATTTAAAAAATAATCCATAGTATTTTATTTGAAATAAAAAACCTCGTATTACATAATAACAATTTAACAACAAATGATATAACGAAGTGACATGTTTAAACAAATACATTGTGCCATAAGTAAACTGCCTTCGTCAATTCTTTTAAGAAATACAAGTAGTTCCAGTAGGTATAAATTTTCTATGTAAATATACAAACATGTTTTATGATGACACAGTGTTACATACATTGTGTCCCCAAAAAACTCGAATCCTTCGAAACTTTAGAATTAAGTCACTGCTAAAAAATTTCAGATGTCATAAAATATCAAGAAACCGATACGTTCGAGTTTGACCTTAATCTTTAGTTTCAAGGTCAAACCAAGGTTAACTTGTGTTGAAGGAAAATGATTCAAACAAAATTTGTGGCACTTTGAATGGAAATTTTGATGGTTGACCTTCGGCACAATTTACAAGGTCAGGCCAAGGTAAACTTGAAAATGTCATATTGAACACCCAATTTTTATATCGGCAACCAATAGAGCGTCGAACGCCATGAAGCTGCTTTGATAGATAAAAATATGATTAGAAAGCTGTTTTATTTTTATGAACCGTCAAACTGTAGACGACCACTAATTCGAACATTTACTCTGAAAAATTCAAATACCTACAGATATTAATTGCCTTTTTTATAATTTCTTCAGCTTTCATCAATTTGCATGTTTATATTTATCTTTTTCCTTTATATTTGTTATTTTTTGTGAAAAATGTGTTTGACCTTCATTGTGATCTACAAGAAGAGTCCTGGAAAAAATCTCTGATCACAGATTTCGATAAAAAATTCTTGTTGAGATATTCAGAGAAAAATGAGTTTCAAATGCCATGCTAGGACATACCAGAAAATTTTTTTACCCCCTAATCGAACATAAAATTCAGCATTGTATTGATTGTCAGCATAAAAAATAAAGTGTTCCATTTAATGTCCAAGTTGATGTTGGTTTGACCTTGAAATTTAAAGTCAAGGTCAACCCCAAGGTCAACAGTATATTGGTTTCTAGATATCTTACAATCTGCATCGCAAACCTTCTTTGATAGAACTCTGTCTTGAAAAGTTATCGGAGGTTCAGTTCTTTTTAGGACACTAAAATAAATGCCCACTAAATGCTTGAAGGTAGTCACAACTAAACGATCTCAGTCAGCGCCAAAAATTAAATGAAAACGTACGAACTTGACCCTACCTGCGGCAGCGGATTGTTCGATATCACATATCTTCCAATTTAATTAACATGTCGATCGATCATATCAAAAAATGTGTACATGTAAGTATATATTAATCATAAAGAAGTAACTCTATGGCACTACTCAAGTCCTGCCATGGCGATTTACGTTTCGGATAGAAGAAAAAGGCGATTATATTGTAAATGGCGAGGATCTGTAAGACTAGAATAGCACAATCGAGCGCTATATGAATCCGCTGCTGCTATGACGCGTATATCTTTGGCAGTTTATAAGGAAGATTGGAGATTTTCTGGTAGGTCTTCCCCAGAAGCACGTACAGGTAAATTCCTAGAGTCGTAAGGACTTTTTTAGTCGGTTTTATGTAATATCTAAGGCCCAGTCTCTTGCGAAGCGCGTATAACTCGGCATTACGAAGTTGGTTGTAATAGTGCGAGCGAAGACGATCTTCGACAAGAGCTTTTTCATTGTTCTCTGTCGCTCCGAAACCTATTCTCACCAAGCTCTCTCCTATGTTTACTAACTGTGGCTTCTTCTTCTTCTAGAAGTTAAACAAAAATTTGCATATAAACGATATTTCAAGTATCAACAACAAAGTTATGTTTAACTGTAGATGCGACACCAATTTTCTCAAAATTTGTCTTCTTCACTTAATTTGTACAATTTAGAAAACTTACTTGGGATAGGTATGTATTTTTTAAAGCACTGTGTTTAGTTTGTGAATCTTAGTCAAAACATGCCCGATTTTAGGACAGAAATTAAGAAAATAAACTTATGATATGTATTTCTAAAGGTCATGACTCTCGTTCAAAACTACACCCTGTATATCATATATCTATGTCTGTATCAGAGAATAAAAAAAAATAAAACAAAATATATGGTTTATTCAAAAAAATATAATCATATAAAGTGTAACAGTCTAATCATCTCTATAAGTTGTTTGATATATTCACATTCGAGGATTATTTGAACATAAAAGAGGGAATACTACTTCAATCGCTCAAATTTAAAAGTGCTGTGAGTATATAATAAAATGTGTTTCGCGTTTTTTAAATACATTTTTCTTTTCATCTCTTTACAAACAGATCTTATTCAAGTTTAAATGTAATCACTTTTATATCTTGACAATCTTAAATACTATATCACTAGCTTTTATAAAATAATTTATTATACTTTGAATTTTTTATTACAAAAAATAATACGTATATGTCTATTTTCTATTAGGCCCAATTTTATCACGAATAAAATTTAATTAGAAATACCAATTAAATTTGAAATATAAATATATAAATTTTCTTTGCCATTGTTTTTTTTTTTCATATTTTTTGAAAAATGTTACTAATAATCATGTTCAAATAAAATAACGGGACTTAGTCATTGTAAATGAGCATCTCCACAGCACTGGTAAAATCCTGCCAAACAGACTCTCGCTTAGGGTAAAAAAAGAATGAAATAATCTTGTACACAGCAAGAATTTGTGCGAGAAATATGCAACATTCAATAACTAAGTTTATCTGTGATTGCTATGCAGTATATATCGTTGGAAGCTTTGGAATAATCCTTACAGTTTGTTCAATTGTATGAAGGAACGTTGAATACAGATAATTAAGCAAGGAATACAAAGCTTTCTCTATCGGTAATGTGTAGTACTTAAAACCCAGTTTTCTCTTATTCGCATAAAGTTCTGCACTTTGAAGTCGACTATAATACGATAAGAACTTGCGATTCTCTACAAGAGGTTTCTCGATAGTTGCAGGGAAACCGAAACCGACTTTTACCAACCTTTCTCCAACATTAACGAGGCGTGGTTGCTTCTAAAATTAAAAATTATAATAAGAGACTATGAAAAACTTCACGCGAACAGATTCAAGACAGATAATTTAATTTGTGACAGTTAATTTGTGCACTCGTAAAATTTAGTACACTCAAAAACATGAGATATTAAAATACATGCATATTTGAGAAAACTGGTGTCAGAATTGCAGAACCAAGTGCTCGTTGTGCCAAAATATTTTTACTTCCATGCATATTTTAAAAATACTCTTACCGTGCACAGAAGAAATCAATGCCAAGGTTAAATGTTTTTATAGAAACTTCTTCAAACGTAACTTACATCTTTAGAAGGTTGCACAAGCAGAACTTCACATTCTACCAAGTTTCGTCCTTTCAAAATAGGTACAAATTTTACTTCGCTGCCAACAACTACAGTCTGTAACCAGCTTATTCCCAGTCCGGTGACATTGACCCCTGTTATTTTGACAGGTAACTGACCAGAAGGTATCAAAGGGATATTAACCAAGGGCTTATGCTGTACCATCAATAAAGCGCCGTCAGGTTCAATTCGCTTCACCAAGCCCGTTAACTCACGCCTTTCTTTAACGAAATGATTAGGGATGTCAGAAGGCGCTTTAAATTTACTAAACTGCAATCATTATTATGAAAAATTTCATATTTTAAATTAATTAGTACTTACCGGTCTCACTTTTCGCATAGCAACTGTTAGCCCAACTAGAGCTACAGAGTAACAGCCAAGCTGAAAGCAAATAATTCATATTTACATGTTATAGAACATAAACATGCTCTATGCCCACCTGTACTCCTCGTATATTTTGATCCATTATGTTTGTAAAACCGTTAAATACATTCGAAACTTGATCCATTTTATTGACTACTTTTATGCCTGATTAATCCTGGACAGAGCATCTAATAAATTGTTTTGTATAGCTAAAAATATCCAGCTAATAATAATGTTAGCAGCTAAGATCACCTTCACTTTATTTTTTGATGTTATGTCATAGTCATATTTTGATGCTGTCAGATGAAAACATTGGAGCGTTTTTTGGCGAGAAAACCGATTGTGCGGTTTGGCGTTTTCGCGAGAAATGAAGTTACCTCGGTTTGCCAAACCAGCAAACCGTATTTGTATGGTAAATTTGAATTGGGTTAATATCCCTATCATTAGTCTAATTATTTTATGTCTCATATCGATGTGAGATGGATGTATATTAATGATTTAAATAAGTGCAGCTGTACATTTCACAATAAATATTTAATATAAAGATGAACTTGAGGTGTACTTTGTGATTATTGAAGTTATAGACAGACCCTAAAGTCAAGTGGCTGACGCGAACTATTAATAAAAGAAACGTCAAGCCCAATGATATTGTGATATGTATTATAAACATCCTGGCGTCAAGCCAACCATGTGGTTTCTTAGGTCGCCAAAAATCGCTTATATTGCATTGATAAAATACGTATTTCGTGGATCATTTTTCATATTTTTTAAAAGCTCGAATAGTTAAAATACATAATTAAAACATAAATAATTAATACGTATAAGAACCGAAGTTAGTTAGGTTACCTTATTTTCGAATGAGCTTACCAATGTTTTACTAAATAAAAGTATAAGTTTGTATATCTCCATGTTTTTATCATGTTTGTATCTATTGCAACCAGTAGATAAAAATAGAACATACCCAGCGCGCTGGTGAGATTCGAAATAGCCTATAGTTTTATAGCTACGATATCGTAGCGTAGAAAGCAATTATAAGGCCATTTCGAATATACAGCATACCAGTTTTATCATTCTATCTTTGTTGAAAGTTGAAACGTAGGTTAAATTTCCATAGACCATAGGTAAACCAAATTAATTGAGCCCTGAGGCACAGCCAATATATATAAGCTGTGCCTGAGGTATGAGGATAAGATGATTAGGATGCGCAGTGGAATTTGTAGTAGAGTGGGGAACGTCCATTTACTCATATTACCCCTATTACTATCATTATATAGACTTTTGATAAGGCCATTCGAATGAGAATGAACCCATATGAGATTTAGTCATATGAATGAACTTATGTGAATATAATAATATACCTACTGATAGGTACTAATTTAGAGCAGGGCTAATTCAAACAAAATAAAATAAATTTATTGTAGCTGTGAAGCTGAAGAGAAATCTATGACTGTCTGTTGTACATAGTATATACCATTTTTTATTTATGCTTCATAAAAAATAAGTTTAATATTTATATACAACAGTGTCGGGTATATAAAAAAAGATAAATAAACATACCTTGAAATGTTCTTTAAGGTATTGATTAAACAAATCAAATGTAAATTAAATATACTTATGTAAATATAGACGTTAAAAATAAACTATAACCTTGAAAGCTAGTTTGGTATTATCATGAACGTCTATGAAGTTCAATAAACTCGATAAAGCCATAGGTATATAGGTACATAATGTAATATATTTTCCCTCGTAAATGTGTATACTAAGTATTTATGTTTATATTAATATGAATCACTTTTTTCCCGTGAAGAAGGCGTAGTATTTCATGACTGTGTTAACTTGGATTTCCCGATTTCAAACATACTGAAAAAAGAACAATTATTGACCCCTCCGAATGCTACTACGTACGACGCCACTGCGTCCTGACATTCTGACATTCAATCGGTAGGGTCGTCGCCGCCATTGTGAATTATTATAAATATTGTATATTTAGTGTATAAAAAAAGTAAGTACGGCTGTTTTCCGTTGATGATTAATTATTTACAGTCTGTAGAGTAAATCGGCAAATCAGTAACATTGGAGACGACTGTTTTTTTTTTTTGTAAAAGTGTGTCGAAAGCTGCAATTGTTGATTCGCCTGGATTTTGACAATTCACTATCCATTCGTAATATTTGTTTTTGGCTTATTACAAATGTGCTGCACAATATTTTTGCTGTAACTGAGTTAATTTGTTAGGTAGAAATGAATGCAGATCCGCGTAGGCCTGAAAAAGTGCAACGATACGTTCCCAAAACAAATAATGGTAATGGTCAAGAGGACCTTACCCCTGATTACATGAATATCTTGGGTGAGTACTGAGGCTATTAATCTATTTTTAGCTTATTCCTCTGTTAGGCCGGTTATTTTAAACAATAAATCGTTGTGCCTTATTTCCAAACATCAGTACAATGGCTTTATGTCTTCATTTTGAACATTTTAACAACTTGGGTAGAAGTTGAGTAACTCTAGTAGTTTGATGTGGCCTATTTCAAAATATAAAACCATGAATCTATTGTCTTCACTAGAAATGTACATGTAAATACTTAATGCATTTATTTAGGTCAAATTTGTCTATAAATATATTCTCATTGATATGCAATCAGATTTAGGTTATTCAATTAAAGAAATCATTTTCATTGCCCCAAGCATTAGAACGTTCAAAGGAAGTTTATTATATGTTTATTAGCACATAATTTTTTTGTTTTAACTCGTGTTTTAATAATTGGTTAATGTGCAGATAGAAGTAATTGTCAAAGAAATGTATGCATCATTTGAAATGACATTGAGGATAATGTCAAGTATTGGAATTGTGATGCTTCAGTGGTTTTTCGTATTTTGAACAAATAAGTGAATATATTCATAGTATAGCAAGAGGTGTCATAAGTTATAACAGTACCATAATTACGTAATTTAATACCTCTCCAAAAGATATAACATCATTTGTTTCAAAAATGTATAAGGGTCGTACGAATCTGATAACGTAAAATACTGTAAAAGTTACATGTGAATTCTACTGAAAAATAATAACACCCAAAACAATGTAAGAAATTTCGATATTATTATTAGTGCAATAAAGTGTATATTTAATAAAAATGTAATGAAAGTAATCAAGTTTATAACATAAATAGATATTAATATGAATGTAACAAATTTATGATCATAATTATTTCTGTAATATATCTTACATTGACCGTCATTGTTAAAATCAAAATATATTAAATATTTTTATACATTCGTTAGTTTCAAGAAATTGTGACATTCATAGAACTGCTCTGAAATCTAGTTTTTTTTTTATTAGTCATGGTTTATGAAATCAAATATGAAATAAAGTTATAAGTATGTGGGATGAGACAAAAAGTTAGGGAAATCGAAGTGAAAGTTCTATTTCGATTAAAGACTGTTTTGACGCCTTTTGTACTACATTTAGGCAATTTTAATTTTTATTCTAAAAACAACTTGAATGTTTTAGATAATTTCTGGGTACATTATCAAATATTATCCCTTACTTTTTCAGCGTCCTGTATACCAAATAAAATAAGTTTTTATAATCAAACTGCTGCTTCTATTATTAATATAAAGTCTTTATTTAATCTCAATGTTGTAAATATATTTGCGATACTGATAGAGAGCAGCCGTATTGAGTGTGAATGGGTAGCACAGTAGTGTAGTGAGAAATTATACTGAAATTTTCCGTAGGTCAGCACCAGACCACGGCAAATGTAGCTGAGGCCGCAGACAAGCACGCAGAATCGTCTGTGAGCATAGAGCCGAACCTTCAAGCATCCTGTCCTCTTGAAGAAGCTCAGCCTGTGACTGACGAGCTTGCCGCGACAACCAACGCTACCAATGCTACCAATGTGATACCCACGAGCCCTCAGTACGGCATCGCCATTATGTCTAACCCACCCGTCATGCCTACTACAAACGACATCCCCACGGAAACCCTCACACCATCCACAGAGACCATAACGGACACCACGGCCAAGCCGTCTGATGAAAGTAAGGAGCTCCACTCGACGCCAAGTCGTAACGACAGGTTTAAGGTCGTAAAAATTGCTAGTCTGGAGCCTTTCAAGAGGGGCCGTTGGAAATGCATGGACTATGTTGACGAGGCACCACCAGCAGGCACGGTGCGGATGCCGCAGTCGACGGGCAGCATACAGATGGCGGGAGGCCAATACTTGCAGACTCAGAGCCTCCCCCAGCAACAAATCCAGCAGATGCTGCTGCAGAGCGGGTTCGCCAACGGCACCCAGTTTTTTCAGAACATGCAGCCGCAGATGATACCGCAAGGACAGTATTTTTACCCGCAGGTGGCGAATATGCCCAACCAGACGTTACCCCAACAAGTGTCAAGCAGCATGCCCGCCCAGTTCATTGGCAATCAACCGTACTTCCAGGCCGGTGTGGTTCAAAACGCAGCGGGATTCACCATGCAGCAAGCTTACCCGAACGTTCAGTACGTACCGGCTAATTTAATCCAGAACCAGAACAGTGCATTCGTTCCCACATCACAAACGCTTCAGATGCCCGCCAATTTCCAACAGAGTCAAACGTACGCGGGACAACCGAACGTGTCCCAGTCCAACATTGCCCAGCCTCTCGTCAACGGTCACAATTTCACCCCCCAGACTGAGCAGCAGGTGACCGGCAGCCTGCCAACGCAAAGTGCGAAAAGTGTCATACTGAACACTAACGTTCCGCAGCCGGTCGTAAGTCAGACGCAGTTAACGCAACAAAACATCCAGAATCACATACCCGTACAGGGCAACCAGTCGCTCTCCGTCATGCAGGCACAGCAATTCCAACAGGCCTACCAGCAGCCCGTAGCGGCGCAACTGCCCCAGTCGCAGAATTCCAACCAAGTGGCACAGAACGTTCAGACCCAGCCGGGGCCCCAGGTGGTTCAGGTGCAGTCGCAACCCTTCGACCAAAGCCTGCCTAGCAATATATACACCAACCCGCAGTTCCCCATGAACGTGAACAGCCTGACGGTACTGGATAACAACGAGAACTCTGGCGAGGTGAACGAGACCAACAGCGGGGTGGACACGATGAGCGAGAGCGCCGACGACTTGGCCAAGACCAATCCGGTGGTGAACGCCATTGATAATAAGATCGAGCAGGCCATGGACCTCGTCAAGAGCCATCTCATGTATACGGTCCGGGAGGAGGTGGAGGTGTTGAAGGAGAAAATCGCTGAGTTGATGGAGAGGATACAGCAGCTCGAGACGGAGAACAACTACCT